TATATATATATATATAAAATTTCTTTTACATCTTATTACTCATTATTTCTTATTACTCACCTGTCTCTATCCAGGCCACGTCCCGAGGTTTCTCTCTCACGTTCCAAGCGATATCGCTCCCGCTCTCTTTCATTATCTTCCCGTCCTGAATGTTTGATGTTGACGTCAGGACCACCTCTACGAGTACCACCTAATCCGCCGCCGAGTCTTCGAGGCAGCCAACCCTTCACCGTTCTCGCTCGTTCAACGTCGACTAATACTCTGCGGCCGTCTATTTTCTTACCATCCGCATGCTTATACGCAGCTAAAATATACCGATTAGAAATTACTGTTCGCTAATGAATTCATGCGCCTAAATGATTGTCTACAAAGTCTACATCTCAACGAAAGGGCGAACTCCGAAAAACCTAACAGGATGATTCCTGAGACTGCGAATCCTGGAATCGGCCAATATCGAGATCCTAAATTGATCCTAAATTATCGGAGTATTAGAATCGGGCGTTACTGGATTCGAGAATCGTTTCTTAATAAACAAAGATTCCATGATTCTCACAATATCTCCAAGCCACTGATCCTCGAATTCAAGTCTTCGAATATACATTCCAAGACTCAGAGTTTCGAAGAGATAGCTTCTAAAATTCTGTAGTATTGAACCATAGATAATGTGGTCCAATAATTTTCAGATCTACGGAACTTAAAAAAAAAGAGCAAAAAACCAACTAATATTGAAACTCAACATAGATTCTCGGATTCGCAAACTATCTAAACTTATAAAATTTTTAGTCTATATCCATGATTTCGAGAATCTGAGTTTAAAGAATGTAAACATAGATTTATCAATTTTAGGATTAAATGTTTCTAAATACATGATACTTTAATCTGATATTTAATAATTGAATATATTATTAGATCTAAAGGACCATCGGTTCCGTAGATCCTTTCTCAAAGAAAAATTTCAGATTCAACTAGGAAATCGTAAGAAGAAGAAAGGAAGAGGATCGATTAAATTTGCCTGTAATGTTGCATGATAAAGTAGAATGCGAACTGTACTCGTTTCAAAGAACGATAAACCTTGAAAGAAATTCATAAATCTCAAGTCAGTGATGACATTACGCTGTTTCACTAGATATCTCGAGAAGAAGTACTTGCTAAAGTACTGAGGAAACATCTCCATTTGAATCGCTGATGCTAATTATCGCAGCAGGATCAGTCAGACTTTGAATTGTTGTTGAATATTATAAACGATGTTGGGATAACGAGGTAATAATACAAGCTGCAGCCGATCACGCGCACATCCGCTTGTTGGCGTGTGTCGTTTTACCAAGTAAAATGGAAGTTAATAAAATATTTAATATAAGTATCTGACATTAGCGTAAAATAGTGTAACGTACTTCTGCGAATTATAATATAAAAGAAAGATTGTTTCCATATGACATGAAATTTATGGAATAATTTTTTTGAAAGAAAAAAGTTGAAACGCTTCGTCGGTGATCGAAATTAATTGCTTTCTTATAAATTTGAGAATTAGACTTATGAGTAAAAAACAGTACAAACTTTATCACATCACAATCATCGTTTGCATCTAGTAATGTATTAAAACTTTCCCTTTTTTTTAAAGAAATATTAATAATTTTTTAAAATAATTTCCTCCAAAGGTCCTATAAAATACATAACAATCTCAAAATCCAATTTAATGTCCTAAATTGCATTTTACGATGTAAAACGAGGATGCGTCACAAGCCGTAGCTGCAACTGACGACGATTGGAAGCAAAAAATGCTTCAGATTTTAAAGCAGCTTAAAACTACTTGTTTAAGATCCAAAAAAGTATAGCAAATACAAAAAATACCTACCGCGGCTACTTACGTACGGAAGTTAACACAAAGCTTAGAGGTACGGTCTAATCGTGAAATGAACTCGTAAGAGACTCGCGAGGAGATTACTCATTGCGAAGATGCCCAGTCTTCATACGTTCATTCGTTTGTTCGTTCAATCTCCGAAGAGGTTTACATTGCATTTACCTGGTGCGCTTTTATTTCGTTCTACTTACGATCAAACCGTGCGCATTTCATATGTACTTATGATATGTTATAGGCCGGTATTCATAGTCGGATCTTATATTTAAGACCATCTTAAGTACAGCCTTAAGATGTCATGAACCAATCAGAGGGCCGCATTAGCAACTTAAGACATTACTTAAGACGGTCTTAAAATAAGAATAAGACTATGAATACCGGCCATAGTGACCTAGCAATAGGTTATATGTATTTAGCGTAATGTTAAAGGCACATTTGCCTATTCGCTCCGCTAATTCGATATCTCCCTGATTCGAGAGAGAGAGAGAGAGAGAGAGAGAGAGAGAGAGAGAGAGAGGGAGAGAGGAAATGTCGTTTATCGTTATTTCCTGTGCGTCGCGTATTGCACAATCGTAGATCCGAATAAGATCCAACTTTGTAAATCAAAGCCTACGATATTCTACATTTTTCGGATACCTTAATCCTTAAAAACACTTTGATCCTTTTTGTAACGTAAACGCCACACTTGGAACGGCATACCCAAGCCAACTTTGATTGCTCAGACATTCATAAAAATGAACATAACTTAACGAATTTTTTTCAGTCGAAACGCCAGACAATAAGAAATATAACGGTATTAAGCAAATGTATGTGTCCTTATTAATAAAAAAGTTATAAGCTATAAAGTAAACAATAGTTTCGAAAAAAATCAATATTTTGTTTAAAAATTCTTATTTTTCGATGAAATGAACCGAATACGTAAATTTCTAGAATTAACATAATTGGCATAAAAAATGTTTATTAAAATTAATAAAAATATTTATTTTATAATAAATAATTATATTACATAAATAGTCACACATACACGCACACGCACACAGAGGGTATCCCGTTTTAAAGGATCCACTGAAAAAAATATCTCGGAAACACTACGTTAAATCGAAAAATGTTTCAGACAAAAGTTGTTTTATTTCGAGGCGGACATAAGATGGTATATTTGACCTTGGATGACATTGTCAAAGTCAGGGCAAAGTTACTTCGAATTTTTTTTAATGGAACTTTCCATTTTTCATTACATATTCTTGTAGTTTATCTCGAAAGCTTCTCAAAACACTATAATGAAATATTTTTTCATTAAATACTTTTCGAGTTATACGTTAAGGCTTAAAAGTTATCGTACCGTCGGCATTAGCACTAATTACCCAAGGTGTCCGACAGACGGCTAAAACCTTTTAAATGTTGTTCAGAATCATGACCTGGAGAACATTTATCAAGATCAAGGCCACTGGAGCAAAAATATATTATAACTTACGTTATAATATATTATACCAGCAAAACAACTATTTTACATGCCACACTTGGGTATATGATACCTATGGCAATTTTTAGTGTCTAATATTTTCTGAAATCCTTGTCGCAAATTATCTAAAGTTTTATGGAATATAAAGATAAAACCAGCATAAAGCTTATTTTCTGACCCGAGACGATAGCCACCTTTCAAAAACAAAAAAGTTCTAATCTTGGAAATAAAAAGACCTGGGTATGCCATACCCGAAAGTGTTTTTAAGGGTTAAAATAAAAAAATTTTAGAACCAACGAAGGCCAGATCCATTTTGATGATTCAGAAAATTAGGATCCAGCGATTCTACAATTCGCAAATATTGCGTATGCATTGTTTAAGAATATATTTTCGTAACAAGTGACATTGTAAAATAAGAAACTGATACCGAATAAGAGAAATTAGTATTCCATATCGAAATTGATATGTTCAAGGACTTGTTTTACATTTTAAATTGCTTTTTTTTAAACAAATGTTAGACAAAAATTGAACATCCTTGAACTATAATATCCAAATAGTCTTATCGCATATTTTATATTTTGCTCTCCATCTCTGACTTTCATGCAAATTTTGAATTTACATCTATCAATGGACTATTTTTACGCATTCAAATAGCAAATATTATGTATATATTCTAAATTTATCGATTATAGCGCGGTTTTTCAGGAATTAATTTAATCCCTATATTTCATGTGATGGAATTTTCAAATTAAAAACTAATTTCAAAAGTCTACTGCATACGAAAACTAATAAAGAAGTAAAATCCAAAAATGCATCTTACTCTAAAATTGTTAGAAAAAGCGCGTAGACTAATTACACGTTTTATGTAAATCCATTTATATAACAATACGTACCGTCCGATATAAATTCATCCTATTTTATAGGATATTAGCATTATAGTACTAAAAGAACTAATGCCATTCTATAACATGAGGGTAGAAATAAATACCTCTTTACATATAACATCTTTTCTATCTTCACATATAACAATTTTTCTACCTTCAAGCCACAGAATTACAGTGATTGTATCAATTATAAAATATCCTGCTATTCGTGTCTACGAAACTAGAAATATTTGTACAAAATATTCTGATCTACATGTTCTTTACACTCATTTATATAAATGGTAATGTGTCCCTGAACCTTCATCCTAAAGGCCCACCAATTTCAATGTAGAATGCTAACTTTCACGCGATTCTTGGATCCATAGATATTAATGACCGTAAATTTTATGAGCTGTAATTTTCTACGAGCCGCTTACACAGTATCATGAATCCTAGATCCATGAATCCATGAACAGTTTTAATGGGACATGTTTTCAGAGAAAAAAAAAAGTCGCCCAAATGTATATACATATATATATATATACACGTATATTATATATACACACGTCAAAATTTCGGGTCGAAAAATCCCGTAAAGAACCTTGCGGGTATCATCTCGGACACCCAATAATCTGTTATAATCCGATTTAAACCGCGTATTACTCGACAAAATCAGACACGATAAATAGGATAAGCAAGTAGACGCTAACAAACGTTGTTGTATGTTGGATCTTACCACACATACAAACCTATCTTATCAGGCAGGTTCAGGGATTTTGCATGGAATAGTGAATGGCACTAGTTGCCGGCAGCGGCCACCACGCTGTACCAAGAACAAGATAAAAACTGCATTAATCAAAGATAGCCAATAAACGTTCACGTCGTTTATTTTTGTTTGTTCGTTTCGCTTTTACCATATTTATGCATTTACAGAACGATTTTCCTGCATAGATGTGCGTATGGCGGGGACCCCCCTTCCCAAATGGTACAGTCTAGTTTAAGTACCAATGAAAATGAGTAGCCTAACTATAGCCCTGCCCCCACAATATTTAGCTGGAAGTGACGCTAAATAAGATGAAATTCCAGACTATATGGGGCTCATTGAGCTTCGCGATAAGAGTAATATTTTTTTTACCTTTCTAAGTCGTTGCTACTTACAGTGCATATCTCTTTCATGCTCATATTCAATGAAAGCATATCCCCTAGGCTTGCCATTAATTGTATTATGTGTTACCACAATCTGTAAAAAGCGAAATTTGGTAATAAATTTATATTGTTTTTTTTTTTATTAAACTTTAGTAAAAAAAATCATTCATCTTTAGAAAAAGTTTACCTTTTTTACTGGTCCATATACTTCAAATTCTCTTCTCAGTTTAGATTCTGAGGTGTCATAATTCTATAAAAGAAAGAAGTAGTGTAAAAAGTAAAAAGAAGAAACAAATATATACAAAAATGTATTCTATAGTTTCATTATTATATTTGATCAGTATTATAATAGTATTATAAAAGTATTATAATACTTACAATTCGAGCTACAAAGAGAGTCTTGAAAGGGTCTGCCGTAACATTGGAAATGCCAGCTGGATCCCATACTGCAATTTCTTGTTCAAGTTTATATGCAACTTGCTCTGCACGTTCTCTTCGTCTACGTTCCAATCGTTCTTCTCGAGTCTCTACACGCACAGGTGGTGGAGTATCTTTAGGATCCTATAAAAAGATATTTATATTTTTTATCATCAAATATTAGTAAAGCAAAAGAAATAAAACTCATCTTAGGGCTGGTTGTTCCACCTTTTGGTAAATTTTACCTGTGAGATAAATCTAGTAATCTGTGCATATGATTGGGTGATCTTGCTACTTACTCAATAGATAAAATTTACTAAAAGATGGAACAACCAGCCCTTAATGATGATGTAATAATAACTCTAAATTTGCAATTTAAGATACAAAAATATATAAATAGATAAACTGTCTTATTGTATATAGAAATGAGATGGATAATATACAGGACATCCTATTTTATTTTAAGTAGTCAATTTCCCCCAAAATTATTGATGATACAAAAAAATCTCAGATGAAACAGACATATTTTGCTCAAATTTTTTTTCGGTAGAGTCACCAAAAAGATATGAAAGTCATCTTTACTTTTTAAAGGAAAATTATATAATTTTTTCGCATAATATGATTTTTCTAATTATTTTTTGTATAAGAATATCAAAGTAAGGCTATCAAAAAATCAATAGTTTACGAGATATTTTATATTTTATTTTGCCAAATTTTGATACAAAGTATGAAATATTTCACAAACTACATATTTCAATTTTTTGACACTTCTATTTTAATATTTTTATACGCAGAATAATTAAAGAAATCATATTACATGAAAAAAAAGTTATATAATTTTATTTTTAAAAGTGGAGATGATTTCGTATTTCTTTGGGACCTCCACTGAGAAAAAAATATGTGCAAAACATGAAAACGTCTCCATCTCATTTTCATCTAAAACATTTTTCTTTATCATCAATAATTTCAGAGAAAATCATCTGCTTAAAACAAAATAGGATATTCTGAATGTTGGATATATGAATGTCCGCATCAATTTCCAGATACAATAAGATGGTTTCGTTCAATTTACCATATTGGAATTATCAATTGAACTCATATACTTAAGAGAAAGTTTCAGTAAAAGAACATTATGAATAAAAAGCAATTATTTATACGTAATATGAAGAAACACTTTACACGTATAAACATAATACAAAGTGCAAAAGGAATATATCGTAATGCGATCAACAAAATATTTTTAAAGTGTAAATGTGTATGTAAAAATGTAAAGTGTATTCTGAAAATTATTCTAAATCGTAAAACAAGGATTAAAATAAAGAAATAATGAAATACGATGTTCTTAAAAAAAATACATAATGTACTTTTATTACCTCGAAATACTTGAGAAAGATCCCGACGCCGGTGTAACCACCGTTTTTCTTCTCATGCGGAAGTTTGCTAGCAGGTGGCAAATACGGAATCGGTTCGCGCGGCGAAAATAACGCCAGCAAATTCGGCGGTAAGAACTGCGTCATTCTGGCGAAATGTTGCCAGCTATTGTACCACAATTATATCAATATATTCATTAAATAAGTAATAAGTAAAACAAACAGGAGATTGACGGCATCCTCTCGCACTCAACAAAATGGCAGTCACCTCGAAGTCGGCTGCGGTCGACTGCTCCGCTGCTAGCGCCACTATACACGTTTATAGAGACTAAAGTCTCTAGAAGTAAAGGGTGCCGTTCCGTGTTGTTACACGGTAAAGTCACTAGATCTATTAAGTACAGCTAGAGTCCCTATAATGAGCAGCCCTCTGATTGGTTCGTGACTTCTTAAGACCGTACTTAAGACGGTTTTGAATATAAGTCCGGATCTACAATAGGGTTTTAAGCCTTAAGCCATAATAAATGGACGAATCATAGTCGATTATTCTCCTCGCACTCAACTGTAATTGATCAATTTCTTACCGCTTAAAGCTTAAATCACCTATTGTAGATCCGGACTAATGGGCCTTTTACAATAAGGAGTCCCATGAAGCGTGTTTGCCGCGTATCGCGTAACCGCGTAACCAATCAATAATCAGTAAAACGCGAAACCACAACAATCAACTGTAATTGATCAATTTCTTACTGCTTAAAGCTTAAATCGCCTATTGTAGATCCGGACTAATGGGCCTTTTACAATAAGGGTGGAGTCCCATGAAGCGTGTTTGCCGCGTATCGCGTAACCGCGTAACCAATCAATAATCAGTAAAACGCGAAACCACAACAGCGGATCG